TAATGTAGCGTATCTATTTGTGCAGTAATTGTATTGTGACACTATTTGAAGGCCGTTGTAGTGTCCTACTGACTAGACTTAGGAAATGATAATAAGAGTATTTTTGACCTTAACCCGTTGAAATTATTGAAAATCAGCCCCTAAATTTGTTCATACAAAAGTAGTCTCTAAACATTGAATGATGGGTGGCTGCCCGTCCAACCAGAAACGGACCCGAGGGTACGGCGCGTCGCGTTCCGCGCGCGCCTCAAAGAGCCATCGGACCACCACGGATGGGGCCCAATAGGGCCGATGCCGATTCGGAGTCGCGGAGACCTAACGGGTAACCGGGGCTCCGGCTCGACGTGCAGGAGAAGGAACGGTGTGGTTTTTAGTCAGTAAGAGTCTGACACTCCCTTCCGCCTCACCTAGGCGGGAGCAGCCATCCGATGATTTTCCCCCCTTAAAAAAAAAACATTGAATGATATCTTACTACAAACATTAAATTATAATTTTATTTATTTATATATTTACAAATGTACACAAAATAAGGTACATAAGGCGGACTTAATGCCATTGAAGTAACAATATAATCATGTTATTAGTTCATTATAAACAACAATATTATTAATCGAAGATTATAAAACAGTAGCCATAAACATGAGCCAATAATTAGTTATAATTGTTTAAATAATGTACTCAAATATTCTAAAGAGGAAAGATTTGATTGTTTGTTTGAATAGGCTCCAAAACTACGGGACCGATTATAAAAATATTTTATCGTTGAAATCCTACATTACTCCTTACTTGATTATCCACACTCAAAACGTTCTCCTTCAATACAACTAGACCTTCCTTATATAGTTTAAGTACATTCATCTTGTGTTTGTGTTACCTCAAACAGATTATCTGGGTAATTGGGCTAAAATTTAAATTTTAAATTAGATCATTAGCATGGCTTATATCATTTATTTGGTAAATTCTGTGAGGCTGTTCTTTCATTTTCATGGGCAACAGATTATTCAGTAGCATTTTCGTGAATGCGGTTTAGTCATTTAGACTAATTTAAGTTAAGTAAGGTTTATCGAGGTTAGCTTATAGATTGGGTGTCTTATGATCTAAAAAAATAGTTTTTCATTAAACTAATAAAGTTCAAAGCCTTTACAATAAAAATAATAAAAACAACATTGAAGTTCTTCAAATAATAATATTTGTAAAAAGAAAGCTGCCAGGTTGAAATGATCATTTATAATAGTTTTTTAAAACGTCAGAATAAATTATTTAATTTAATTCAACTTTGGGCATGACTGTACGTTTTAGTTTAATCTCTTGAAGCATTGATGTGTGAAGAAGATACTTCATAAAAATGGAAAATCTTAATATAATTTAATATTCAGTTTATTGCAACTGGACTTGGAACTGGACTGGACCGCGCGCTTCCACCTCGCGGGCGGTGCGTAGCTGGCTCCCACCGCTAGGTTGGCTAGAAGCTTTCTGTCACCAAGAGTATAGTCAACAATACCAATACTTAGTGCACCGTGTGCGCGGGTTACGAATACCTACAGACGATACGATCTTGTTTCGCTTGCGCGTGGCGGGCGGCTCACCATCAAGTCGCCGTCGGCGCGCCGTCGACGCGCTGCCGGCTCGTCATACGACATATGATTTAAATGACAACTTAATTGCTGGGTTGGAGCTGTACTTATTAGATGTGCAAAGGCCTTAAGTGTAAACAGTATGGACATTCATGTCTGACATTTGTGTCAGAATTTGTGTCGTAGTCTATTTGGACTTTAGGGTTTCAGTTTCTCCTACAGATATTGAAATTGGTTCAATGTCCATACCTATAGAACGTGGCAAAAAGCTCGTCCCTTTATCAGGGGACCTAATAGTTGGATAAATTACCTTTAAACTACTCGAATTTCCATAAGACCAATAACTTAAATTCATTATCTAGCAGTAACCCTCAAAATGTATTGGTATCAATTTAGAGAAAAATGAGGCATTGAGGTCCTCCTTGTGCGTATGATCATTACAGTTTCGACTCCTCCAGAAGGCACACTATATATATAAATATCTCCAAACATTGCTATTAAGTATCGACACAAAGAGTATGTACCGTGAAATATTTACTGTCTTTAAGTGATTATAAGTACAATAATTACATAGGTAAGCAGATTTGTTTTATAGTTATTTATTTTGTATACTTTGATCAAGAACGCATTTCCAAATATCTAATTATCTCGGCAGTAAAAAAAATGGTATTCAGTGTTCAGTATTATGGCTTTAAATTATGATAAAGAGCTTTACATGGAGAGGAGTGGAAGAAGGATAAGGAGTGGACGACTATGATTGAAATAATATGAAATAAGAAATAAAAACTATGACAGTCCATTTTTAACTAACTTCAACACCACCTTTACAGTAGATGTTTAACATTATTATGTAGTTTTGCACTTTTTAAGGCGATAACAAATGACTCAATCAAAATCCAAAAGGCTGATAAGAATACAATTAGGAAATTCATGTTAAAAAACGAATATACATAAACATCTTTGATGTACACGTGTATGTATTTTATTACCTCGCGTGATAAACACCAGTCATTTTCTTTCTTTAATAATTGAGGCTACAAGTAAAAGTCATTAATCAGGCTAATCTGTATATTGAAATGTTTAAATTTTATGAATGGGAACGGTTAATCAACGGCAAAGGTTAGATTGTGGGAGACAATAAAAAGTAAACGAGGTTTTTGTTGCTTTGTTGGACAAATTACTGTTAATCGAATTCCTTTTTGAAGTGTAAAGGGCAGGGCTTACTAATTGGGTCCCCGAAAATAGTATTGTATTAATCTATTGTTATGAACTGAAAAGGTATACACACACATACAAGTATGTACCGCAGTTTGATGATGAAGTTGATAGAATATAATGATTTTCTATTTTCTGAAGTTCAATTATTAAAAGTTTTTTTTAAATTTGCTTCATATTAATTGGGCAATAGTTTCTTTACCATAACGATAGGACGCGTAGAGTCATAGGATTCTAAAATGTCACATATTTTTGTATAGAAAAGAGACGTAAAGTACCTAATATTTTTGTTGAGAAAAATGTCTCAAGCAAAAACATCAACTATTTGAAGAATTTGCAAATCATTCACACGTATAGCACGTCATAGGAACGCCGTACCCTCGCTTCCTGGGACAACAAAGTTCCCATAACTTCCCCGTACACGATGAAACGTGACTATTACACGCAGCAGAGCTTAGTACGGCCGCTTTGGAGATGTCAGGTCAAGGTCAGAATTGGGGTACCAAGTGCACTGAATGTAGGGAAGGGTAATTATCCCATCCCCAGTCCTTTGTTTCCTAACATTTCTACTGATTCACCCTAAAGTTGAATATAAAAGTTTGTCCAACTGTTTACATGTTTTAAGTAGTTGTTTACATAAACGATTATAATGTTTAGTGAAATGTGGTTTCTTAAGGTTTTCATTATATGCTAGATGGCGTCAGTGATGTTTTTAATCGTTTGAAAAAAGACTTTGTAGTTTTGTAATGCCAAATAATTCCGGTTTATAATTCTATATTACAAAAGTTTCAACATCTATCTCAGCAGTGAAACTGAGGGACGCAAAAAACTCCAACAAACCGAAGTTTCAATGTTTACATTTCGCACCAAACTAAAGTTATATTGCACTAACTAGCGCCTAACAAGAATATCATAACAACATGTCGCATAAATAACAAAAAATATTATTTGAGAAAAGGAGAATATTGCAAACGTTCGTCGGGAAACCACTTCTTGAGAATCTCATTAAGATAATAAGATAGGTAGAATCTTGAAATACACTTGGATAATATATTTATTCGTCCCGCTATGCGCCTGTTCATTTTAACATTTTATTGTGGTGTTGTCTGTAAAACAACATTGCAATGTTTATTATTGATAGCCGACCGCTTTTTCGAAGAACATCTACTTCGATATCGGTAGACATTGTTGTATATTTTAAAGTTAATTAATCTTTGTTATAAATGCCAAATCTTTATGAATGAATTACGGTTGCATTTTTTATTTTTTTACGAAAATGAATAGTTTCGAAGATATATTGATTTGAAATATCGCATGACGTCACTTTTGAGTCCGATTTATACTCTAAAATGACGTAGCTACCTCCCACTTCTAAACTTTGATTCGTTTTATCTAAGTATTGTTTCCTTATACGACAAAATTAAAAAAATACGTGTCTAATATTTTTTCATTACCTCATTGACGGACTAAACACATTTTTAATTTTCATACCCTGTCATCATCCCTATTATAGAAATGTGGTTAACAAGCGTTGTTTGTTCACGTTCTAAAATTAATTGAGTGTGAGTTGATCACAAAGTGCCGACTCATCAAAGGTTTTTTAAGCTCTGATCAAGTAATTTGTGTATATAATAATTAAATTAATTTTAAAAGAACCATTTGAATAGTGCATTACCGTATTCTATGAGTTTATCACTATTAGACAGACTAATGTATCATGGTTATACCTAGTGGCCCAATTTTTATTACCAGTGCCATTGAGACTCTAGATAAAAGGTGTTTTCCACTGTATATTGCTGAAAATGATAGAATCATTTATTTAAAATTCATGTTAATTAATGTAAATATGTGTGTATCAATTTCCATTTTCATTTAACCTATAAAGGATGACGGGCAAACATATATGGGAAATGTACCTACGGACCAATAACGACCAGACGTATGTCGTTAGAAAACTCTTCTCAAGACTATTATTTGTTATTATGGGGGCTACTTTCAATTCGTTGTGAGGAAAACGTATGGAGTCTGGATCCTCCCCTGAATAACAACATGTGTTTGCAAGGCTTTCAGATTCAATCAATTAAGTTCATCCCTCCAATATGATTCTCTTCTAGTTTCATTTTCATAAAAAAAAAACAATCTCTTTTATCAACATTCATCAACATCAATTAAACAACACTATTATTAACTTTTTTTTTCTTTTCAGATAAAATGGCGACGGTAACAATTTTACTGGCGTTAGCGCTATGTTATGCTGCGGAGGGCATTCACCTTAGCTACCGACCATCAACATCGCAACTGTTCTTGCAAGCCACACCAAGTTTGCATATCACTGGACCTGCAGCCACTTTCGCCAGGGTTGCAGCATTTGGCCCCCAAACTGAAAGACGGCGTGTCACTGGATTTGGGTATGTTTAAAAGACAAAAGCGATGCCCCAAGACTTTACTTATAGGAAGTCATTTATATTATGTGTATATTAGATTGAGTATTCGTGTTCGTCTTACCACCACACTCAGAGACATTTATTTGTTACTTAAACTAGTATTTAGCATTGTTTTCGGAAAAAATCGTTAATAAAATATAGTTTACGTAATCATAAAAGTTTCTGAGTGTGGCAGTAAGTGCCTTTTCACACGTTCCGATTGCCGGGTAGCCGGCGCCGGGTACCCGGCTGGGCAGTGTATGGCCATTTACTGTAGCTATCACATCGCTGGATAACCGGCGCCGGCTACCCGGCAACTGAAACGTGTGAAAAGGCACTAAGAGGTGGCATGAGAAATCGATAGTATTACTACCAGTTTCCGAAGGACTTATCATAATAAAGGCTATTTAAATAAACTAGATAAGCTACCTCTATAACTAAAGTAAATAGAGGAAGTTATGAACATCAGTATTTTGCTGACAGTTTCGTTAGTGGTAGATTATAAAGCAGTTAATCTAATCTTTTAGGAACTGGGAGACACTAATAGAGGTTTATGTTTAAATTGCTGTTTCATGTTTAAAGAGGCAAGACAATTTGTTTACTTAAAGGAGAGTAGTTTGGAAGTACCATTTCCTGAGACTAATAAGTATTTTGGATCTTACAAGGGACATTACAGGGTTATGGTGAATACGAGTAGGCCTTAAATAGTTTTCTTCCATTGTTGTCTAGAACAACGCAAAAGTTCAAACTGATTTATTAGTGAAGTTTGAAACGTTATACCACCTTCTATATACATTCATGTATCATATTAAACTAAGCCAGTAAGATCTATGAGATTATTGTATTTTATATGAAATCCTTATATTATATGAAAAATATTTCATTACTAACTTCTGCCCGCGACTTTGTAAGCGCAATCAATAGGATTTTCTGTTTTTTTTATCATAAGAACCTTTTCCTGACAAATCGGTCAAATTGGTCTAACTGTTCCCAAGTTATGGTGTGACAACGGGAAACGGGAAACGTTCATTTTTATACCTATATATATAGAAGATTATGCTGTAAATGTATAATGAAGAATTAAAACTGACAGAATGTATATAGAAGGTTTTTAGCTTAATTGATTTAATCAGACACAAGCAATTTAAACATTTTCTTCACGATTTCCATTGTTAGCTAGCTTGTTTGCTAAAACAGGCTTTGTCTAGAAAAATACGAAGTAAGCTAAAAAAAGCTAGCTTTAAGTTAAACTTACTCGAAATGTGTTAAATTATTTTCCTGTACAGTGTAATAGAAATTCTCTAATCTAAACTGTCGTAACTCTGTCGGGTTATTTTAAATTAAAACAGAAGACTGCACAATTAATAGGTTTAATTTCTACATATATCAGAATCAAGACCGGCTCACACCGATACAAAGAAATGCCCGAATGCTATGGCTGGCGTGTGTCGATGAAGAAGAAGCGCGGCGCTCGCGCGGCCGTGCGTTTTTACACCCCGTCCCGCGCGTCGCCGCCTCTATGGTCGATGGCCATACTAATGCGCCAACATATTCCCCGGGTTGAAGAGTTTTCTTCAATCTTGGATTGGAAGTGGGCAGATGCTGTTGAAACCACGACGAATGGTGCCCTTCTTCGTCCTGATTTCTGCCACTCTCGTGACCCCGTCGACGCCGGGATAGGTCATGGTGACCCGACCCAGGGACCAGAGCAGAGGTGGTGCAGTTTTGTCCTTGATCAGGACTAAGGACCCTGGTTTCACTTCACCTCTTGAATGGAACCACTTGGATTTCGCCTGCAGCAGAGAAATGTACTCTATATGAAACCTGTTCCAAAAATGCTGTCTAATGAACTGGATCCTCTTCCATCGATCCAGCCGCGTGATGTTGGTTTCAGTCACCTGAGGAGAAGGCACCGATAAGAGTGGTCGTCCAATTAGGAAGTGGGAAGGAGTAAGTGCCGAAAAATCGTTAGGGTCCGAAGAAAGAGGAGTGAGAGGACGTGAGTTTAACACCGCCTCTATATGTGTTAGACAAGTAGTCATTTCCTCAAAGGTTAAATGAGTAATATGCAGCAATCTTTTTAAGTGGTGCTTACACGATTTTACAGCAGCTTCAGCCAGTGAATTAAAGTGTGGGCTGTATGCAGGCGTGAAAACGAATTCAATGCCCAGCTGCGCTATTTCAGTTGCAACATCAGACGATTCCAAGAACCTACGCATCTCGTTCGATGCACCTACAAAGTTTGTCCCGTTATCGGACGTGATACTTCGAGGCTTGCCTCGACGCGCCACGAACCGATTTAAAGCGGCCATGTAAGCCTCGGTGGTGAGGTCGCTGACGAGCTCCAAATGAACGGCTTTCACTGCTGAGCAAACAAAGATGCACATATAAGATTTTGTTAGTTTGCAACCACGGCCTTTACGATTGGCCACCAATACTGGTCCCGCGTAATCAACGTAACTATACAAAAATGGAAACTCAAGCTGAGTTCTAGAATGGGGTAAGTGACCCATAATTGGCTGTATGCTTTGAGCCTTGTGTCTGCAACACCTGAGACATTGATTCACCACAAGTCTAGACAAGTTTCTGCCACCTAACGGCCAATAAGTCTGTCGAATGTGCGACAGTAATAATTGTGGACCAGCATGTGCAAGCTCTAAATGTTGCATGTGGAATATAAGCTTAGTTAGAACATGTTTACTGCATAATACTATTGGGTGCTTAATATTAAAATCATAGGGAGAATTATCAAGCCTTCCGCCCACGCGGATGAGGTTATTATCGTCTATAAAGGGAGACAAGGGCAACAGCCTACTTTTGCGCGGCAATTTCTGACCAGATTCTAAAAAAATATACTCTTCATGAAACACTTCAAGCTGTGAAAAGTGTATAATTACATGTAATGAATTTTCAAGTTCTGAAACAGAAAGATTGCCACACAATTTATTTTTATTTTTTAGATTATAAGTAAATCTTAGTACATAAGCTAATATTTTTTGTATTTTTGTTAGACTAGAATATCTTGTTAATACTGTATGTATAATTGATGTATGAATGGTTGTATCAGAATGATTATTAATATTAGAATGATTCACATTACTATCATTTTTAATGAGATGAGTCACTACTTCCGGCATATTATCTCTCCCTGTGTTGGGTATTTTGGGCCACTCGGTTTCATCATGCTTCAAAAAGGAGGGCCCAGACCACCAGAGGGGTGTGTCGTTAATGACGTCTGCCCTAAGACCACGGGAAACAAGATCCGCCGGGTTGTCCTTCGACGGTACGTAGCTCCAGGTATGACCAAACGTGATTTCTTGAATTTCATTGACTCGGTTTTTAACAAAAGGTTTCAATTGACTAGAGTTAGTAGAAAGCCAAGCTAGAACTATGGTTGAGTCACACCAGAATCTACATTTGTGAATGGGTATGGTAAGCGATTCCTGAACCTTAGCACACAGCCTTGCACCTAACAAAGCTCCGCAAAGCTCAAGTCGCGGTATCGTTGTAGGTTTGATAGGCGCTACACGGTTTCTAGAGACTAGAAGCTGGACGCCCATAGATCCATCACTACTGCAAGACCGAATGTACACACAAGCGCCATACGCCTTCTCAGATGCATCGGTGAAAATGTGTACTTCATGAATAACGGAATCTTCACGCAAAACCCAACGAGGAACTTTTAACCTATTTAATGATATTATGCTACTCACAAATGTAGACCAAATATTTTGAATGTCGAGCGAAACTACGTCGTCCCAGTCATATTTTTCTAGCCATAGACGCTGCATGATTAGCTTTGCTTCGACGACGCATGGACCAACGAGGCCTAATGGGTCAAAGATTTGACTGATAACAGAGAGGACATGACGCTTGGTGACTTTTGTAGTAGAAGTGATATTAATTGAATATGTTAGAGTATCTGAGTCACATACCCAGATAAGCCCTAGGGTTTTTGATGGAGTAGGATACGTACCTTGCTCCGAAAAATGCAATCTATTATGTAACACGTTACTATCAGTAATTTGATTATGAATTTCAGGATGATTTGATCGCCATTTACGTAAATTAATTTAGCAGAAGATAGAACCGTTTGTACCTTTTTTGCGATTTCAATTGTCTCAGCTATAGTTTCCCCTCCACTAAGAAAGTCATCAACGTAGAAGTCACGTCGTATGGCAGATTGGACACGCTCGTCCTCAATGTTATCAGCCAAAGATACTAGACACTTAGTGGCTAAGTAGGGAGCTGAAGCAGTACCGTAAGTGACGGTGTTCAAAGTGTACGTCCTAAGGGGTTCTGAGGGATCAAACCTGAAAATTATTTTTTGAAGAGGTCGTTGAATAGGATTCAACTCAATGGCCCTGTACATTTTTTCCACGTCACCTGAGACCACGTACCTATGCTGACGAAAACGTGTTATAATAGAAAACAGTTCGTCTTGTACTACGGGCCCGACCATCTGAATGTCGTTAAGAGACACCCCGGTACTAGTAGGGGCCGATGCGTCGAAGACTACGCGCAGTTGTGTTGTGGTACTGGAACTACGTATGACTCCATGATGCGGAATGTAATATTTAGTAATGGAGTTTTCAGGTGATGGAGTACAGTCGAGGTCTAATGTCATGTGACCTAAGTGTTCATATTCTTTGATGAACTCAATGTATTTACGTTTGAATGAAGGATCACGTTCAAATCGTCGTTCAAGGGATAAAAAACGATTCCTTGCATTTAGGTAAGAATGACCTAATGAACTTGGATCTCCCTTTAAAGGCATAGTAACGACAAATTTTCCATCATTGTTACGAAACGTGTTTTGAGCGAAAAGCTGCTCACACATTCGCTCTTCAAGTGAGTTCGAATGTTTAGAGGAAACATTGTCAAGCTCCCAAAAGTAAGTAAGATCGGGAGTGACACTAGAATGATGGCAACAATGATTTGAAGATAAGCTTGTTGAATGTGAAACACTACCGGATACAAGCCACCCGAGCTTGGTCTCACACAATGTAGGTAAGTGCTTTCCTAAATCAATAGTTTTATTGCCTATGACATTCCAAAAGACATCAGCCCCTACCAGGATATCTACGACCGACGGAACGTTGAAGTTCGGGTCTGCTAGCATAAGACCTGAAGGAATAGGGACATGACTAATATGCACGAATGAAGACGGTAGAACTTTGGTAATTTCAGGTAAAATATGACAATCTATATCTACAGTAAAGGCACAGCATAAGGATTCTATTGTGAGGTGACAAGACTGTGTGCTGGTGGAGACATGATTATTTATACCCGTTACCTTAGTGCTCGTACCGCGTCGTAACAAACCCAACTTCTCAGTTAAACTCTGCGTAATAAAGTTCGCTGTACTGCCGTTGTCCAGCAACAAGCGCGCAGTGTACTTCTTACCCGTCACGCTGGTCACGTTCACCAGGGCTGTGGACAGTAAAACATGCGAAGAAGTAGCAAGCTGCATAGAATTGGCGGAAAGCACAACGTTTGGAGCAGAAGGCAATTCAGAAGGCAAAGCTGCAGGCAATGGGTTTGTGTAGGATTTAGGCTCATGTGAGTCTAAGTGTAAAAGCGTATTATGCTTCGATTTGCAATATTTGCAATGTGAAAAGGTACATTTATTAGCAGAATGCCCGAAGCGTAAACAATTAAAGCAAACATTGTATTCGCGGGCCTTTTGTATGCGAGCCTCAATAGATAAGCTTCTAAATGAGTCACATCTGTATAAAGTATGTGCCTGGGAGCAAAGCGGACATTTGTTGTTTTTATGATTATAGTTTGATTTTTTATTTTTTATTTGAGTATTAGTTTTAGAATTAATTTTATTTATGTGACTATTGTTTAAGGCTACAATAGAATTATGTTTTGAAGAACAATTATTCGATTCAACAGATTCCAACCAGTCGGCTCGCTTGCCTAAAAATGAACAAAATTGTTGTAAAGTAGGATCATCGTTGTTCAAAGCAGTATTCCTATTTTCTTCCCAGTCACGACGAGTAATGCTATCTAATTTTTTTACCATAAAATAAATTATAATTAAATCCCAATGTTGTGTAGGCTTTTTTAATGTTGTCAGTGCCCTAATATTTTTATTGATTAGATCAACTAAATTTCTTATACCAACACTTGATTCCATAAGTATTGGTTCCACATCATCAAATAAAGCTCGCAAATGGTTGTCCACAAGAAGACGGTTATTATTGAACCTTTCACATAGCAGGTCCCATGCAAGTTGATAATGTTCGGCCTTAAAATCAATGTTTTTAATTATTAAGGCCGCTTTGCTCTGGAGTGAAGCTCGCAAGTAGTGGAACTTGTTTATGGCGTTGATGCTAGCATTGTCGTGAACCAATGAACTAAAAGTATCTCGAAACTCAAGCCAGGATTGGTAGTTTCCATCAAAATGTGGCAATTCTATTTTTGGCAAACGAACAAAATTATTCCGTGAGGAAATATGTGCACCTGAGTCAGCATCCTTGAAGCCAGCCTCCGACCCGACACCGTTGTTCGAAGCACCGAGCAGGCTGCGCGTGAGTGCCATCAGACTGAAGAACTGGCGGTCAAAGTCCTCACGCTCAGTAAACGTAGACTCGGCATCGTCGGCAAGCACTTCAATTTGAGTCTGTAAATCATCAAATTCGGCGTGTAAGCTTTGGAATTTAATAAAGCGTTCTTCCAAATCTAGACGCTGCAACTGTGAAATAGCGGCACTACTTTTAATTAATGTTAAATAATTGTTGTAAATCGTAAGCTTCGATTTTACAGAACTGCGTTTCTTAATTAAAGTCTTTAAACTGTCTGCCATGATAAAATATTATAGGATTAAATATAAACTGGTTAAACAAGTACTAATGAGTTAAAGGAATGTATGCAAAAACAGCTGTGCGATAAGAAAAGGTACCGAGATTCACGATGTGACACGTGTTCGCACTGCGTTAGCAAACTAGTTTTTGTAATTATGGAATATTTATACGTGAGTTATTGATACGTAAGCAAATAACTGCAGTATTACAAGCACTATTTGAAATGAGATACGGGCTACTCGTTAAAGAAAGTTATGGGAAGCTGGGAAACGATTTTTTGGCAAGATGAAAGTTTTGGAAAGTAACTAATTGGAACGACTCACTCAAATACAGTATTATACTCCCAAGAATGACATCGGCTTCCACGGTGACCACGTAGTCTGCTTCGGGGACGACTTCTTTGTGCTTTCGGCGACGTGGTGCGCGGGGTACAAAGTTCACTCGACGCGCACACGATGACCGATGACGTTGATAATGATTTGCAAAATTTTACTGGGCAACTTAATAGCTCGAAGGACCAATTGTCGTAGCTCTGTCGGGTTATTTTAAATTAAAACAGAAGACTGCACAATTAATAGGTTTAATTTCTACATATATCAGAATCAAGACCGGCTCACACCGATACAAAGAAATGCCCGAATGCTATGGCTGGCGTGTGTCGATGAAGAAGAAGCGCGGCGCTCGCGCGGCCGTGCGTTTTTATACCCCGTCCCGCGCGTCGCCGCCTCTATGGTCGATGGCCATACTAATGCGCCAACAAAACTATGAAAGTACCAAGCATGAACTTATAATTTTCATTTAGCAATATTTAATTAGAATCCTTCGTTGTCACTTAGGTGTATTTTATAGCACTGTGTCCGCAAGTAAATTGTGTTATAAAAATAAACTGATTACGAATGTTTATTTGTAACTATGTATAGAGGTAGTATTTGATTATTTTTCTCTCAATTAAAAATTACATATTTTATGTAAGTACCTTATATTTTTGCATTTTGGAGTTTTGTTCTCTGCAGAAACTCTAAACGCATAAAAATCCTCATGGAGAAGTGTAGCTGTAAAAGAAACTCACAACAGTGGTAAACTTTTACACCTACTATTGTGTCTCTCTGCATCACCCTAAGGTTGACTGTTAGAGAATGCCACTAGGCATTAAGTCCGCCATTGTATACAATTGCAAGAAGTGTAAATAAAAAAATAAAAATAAATAAAGAAAATTCAACACCAGACTTCTAGGGTAATTCATAAGTCCGTAGGGTAACTTACATAGACATAGTCCTTGTATATAATGTACATACATACTTAGTAAAACTATGCCTAATTCATGTTTGGTGAACCTAAGTGATATTCTTATCTGCTCTGAACATAAGCAGTTGTGAATAATTTTCTATCTTCTCTATTATTGCTAACGGACGACTGAACAATTTAGTCCGATTTATGTACAGACAACAGCTCATCAAGTTATTCTAAATTGTCAATTTTCTTTATTAGATTTTCAATTTTGATTCCTTTGGTGTAAAGGGATTTTATTCCGTAGCATGGTCGGGCAAAGTATTATACTGGGATTTTTTAGTTGTACGAAAACACTCAGTAATAACATGGAGCTTGGATTAGAGCCAGTATATAGCTGATTATTGAGAACGTCTATATATCTTATCTATAAAAATGATTCATGTAATATGTACCTTTGCCATCCTAGTGTGGAAATAAAAAGACTTGCTTTAAAGTCCAAAATGTATTACACTAACTGCCGACAGATAACTGTTGAACGCAAATCTTTCGTTAAGCATCTGTCATCAGTGACCGACACGTGTTAAAGAACATTGACCTCTTAAATAGCTTGAACTGCTGTTGGCGTCTATGTTTGCACCTGCACAGTAGGCTAAAGATCTATGTGTTGCACCTTATAAAATACTTTCACTGATTCTGTCTACAGCCCGACACCTGATGCAGACTTCTTCGGACCAACTACAAGGTTAAATTGTTGTTTATGTTTTTGATTAACTTAACTAATAACTACTAATGTGTGATGCTTCAAACTAACCGATTGTTAAACTGACAAATAACTTTTATGCACTTGGTTTTTTAATTATAGGTTTTATTTTATATGTACTTAATTATATTTTAGAATACTATTTAATTATGTTATCATTATCACAAATAAAGCCTTTGGACTTTGGGCTTGGGTTCGATTCCTAGGTTCAGAAAAATGTGATTGGGTTTTCCGATTTTCATATTTCTTTTGATTAGATTAGGAAAAGTAAGCGTACAGTAAGTATATTTTCAACTCTTCCTTTAAAAGATAATGAGTGTGATTTATTTGTGTGTGTTTGTATGTGTGACTTTTATCCTTTTTAAAGTAGCGTGATATATGAAAATATGTGTTTTTATTACAATATCTTTACAACTTAAAAGTCTTAAATAGAGGATTCTTCTTTATTTTTATTATGCACGTGTATGTACGTCCGGAAAATGTATACTCATTGAAGAATATTTTCTTTTATACATTTAGGCGTGACTTTTCTTCGAAGAGATGTTTTGTAGCCTATTCATATTTTCCTGGAACTGCAAATGTAAAAATACCAATACACGTTCCTGCTCTACTTTTTACGTAATTTGTTCAAAGGTTCATGTAATAAAACTTATTATTTATTTACTTGTAAATAGACATTCATTGATTGATAGCCTTTCACGTATTTTGCATGATTTTTCTCACGTTTTTTTTATTTACAGTATAATTGATTTAATAGGTATAAGTACGTACAGTGGGCGACAGGTAAACCTTCTCTCTCTCAAATATATTTATTAGATTTTTAACTTTATAATATGAAAATAACGTTGAGAATCTAATGAAAACGTTGGCAGACTTGGAATATGTCGACCTATCTAAAACAAAAACTTATACGTTATTTTCTACACAGTTTTAGCAACCCTCCTGCTCCACCTGGAGCGGACCAGGACCCAGCTTCTCAAACCTGTGGACTTGCACCTCCATTCTGCACGAAGTCGCGTTACAGAAGCATTGATGGTACCTGCAACAACCTCGAAAGACCTCATTGGGGTATACCTAACACGCCTTTTGGTCGAATCGCGCCTGTTAACTACGATGATGGTACGTATCATATGCACGAACTCAAACTTTTCTCATTTAGCTACTTCCCTGCAGCTCCTATTTGGCGTACCGTAATGACTAATCGGACACAAATAATTAGCAATTTAAACCAGTAGTTCAGACGTTGAATTAATCATCGAAACAAACGAATTCTTGAGCTTTAATAATTTGAATAGCCCATGATCCGATTTTGGTACCGTAAAATTCGGTAGAAAAAGAGAGTCAAGTATTTTATTTAATGTTCAACTGTTCTAATATTGGCACATACATAAAATTAATTGTATTCGTATCTGTAAGGAAGTTATATTACTTATTATATTTCAATAATTTTTAAGTTTTTAATCCCCAAGGAAGTAGAGGCACAACTTACAACGAAACACTTATTTTTATCACTCCTTGCGTCGTCAAACAGATCAATAAAGGTGATATACTTGACCTGACTAAGAAACCGAGCCTTAATCTTCTTCCTCAGCTGTTGCGTTTAAGACCACTTAATCAAAGAAGCAGTCATTTATGGTTATTTCCATAACATCAATTGTCTGACTAAACTCATGTTACGTCTGATATACGAGTGAGTGAAAAGTCACCAGGTCGGTGCTCGGAACATGTAAATTGCCTAAATTGCTCACGTTCCCCACATTTACATAATACCTAATTCGTCACTAACATAGTTGCATCTGCCCACTTAATCTACAAATTTATCTCAAGAGCAATTTTGAAGAGAATTGATCCTACGATTATTGTCAGCTTTTCAGAGACTAGACATTTTTTATTATAGCCTTTAAGGCTTTTAAGGACTTTTTCTTTTTTTTTGGTAATTTTATATTAGTCACGGATTATAATGATTTATTATACTGTTAATGCGTGGTTTGTTTGAGTATGGTTCCCGCTCGTAATAAATATAAGTATTATCTGCTGCTTCTTATACTTATGCCTAGAAAAAATCCTTGAGTAGGACAAAATTAGCAATCTACATTCAATTCAACTGTTCTGTCGTCGGTTGTGTTTCCAAACCGATACGACCTTTTTCAAGAAAGAGCGTATCTCTTTTTAAAAGGCTGGCAACGCACCTGTTACTCCTCCGGTGTTGCGGGTGTCAATGGGCGGCGCTGATCATTTACCATAAGGTGATCCGTCTGCTCCATTTGCCTTCTATTCCATAAAAAAAGTATTCTGAGAAAATATTATTGGCCTAAATATTTTTATTAAGAATTCATTACGCGTACAAAGCTTTAATAATTTGCAAATTATATTAATATCGATATTATGTTAGAAAACAATAACGGCACTGATTAAAATCGAGATAACGTTGAAGGTTATTAAAGACACAATGAAGCAAATAATTACAAACAGTAATAATTTATGTAGATATGTATACAATACATTCAAATTGATCAAGTTGCTCTGAGATAATACGTAATTTGAATTCTCACTATTTATGCATATCTGCTATTCTATATTACATGTACCTCTATATTAGTAGTATTGGAGGTTGTTTGTATACTGACATTACATATACATACAAAATAGCTTTAGAGATTGATATCTCAAAATACGGGAGTAACTTTGTGTGTAGTACGTTTGCTACGCTCGTAGTACGTGTCCTACGACGTAATGCGTGCGCTACGAGCGTAGTATATATACTACGAGCGTAGTAAATCTACTACGCATCGCGAGTTATTCAATGATTAGGTCAAACATTGTCTGTGTATTTTATTATATTATTTTCCTTAACATTATGAGTTATTTGTTAAGTATTTGTTGCAGTAATATTACAATTATTGTCTTTGTAAGCGTAAGACTAGCATATTTTGTTTCTACCGCTAGATCTTCTAGTATAAATAAATGGTTATTATTTTTCCTACTTCATTCTAATAAGATAAATTTCTTATATTTATTATTATATTCAGTCAATGGAAATTGGCGCCATTTTCCTTAAGAAGGTGACGTTTTGATAAATGATTGTGACGCTCAGCAATTAATGTTTTGCGCGCTTATCTATACATAAAGATAATATGTTAATGTAGGCCTAATGGCGCAGGATGCGAACAGGGTGAAGGGATGGGATTTATGGAGGTAAAATATTCCCATAAGGTAGCGAGCGGGTGTGCTATATATTTGTATGAGAAGTTCGAGAAATAATATTCCTAATTTCATGTCGAATGTAATTGATTAAGGTTAACATTCCTATCTTCACCAATATCTAATGTATTGATTCTCAATTGATGTATTCTATGGGTTTTTTCTCTTACTTTTCAATGATTTATTATGTTTTGACGAAGAAGAAAACATTCTATTTAGGTCTCGAGAAGTTTATTATTTATTGTAGTTATTTTGTTTTGGTTTGCAGGTGTGAGTGCCATAAAGACCCTTTCGAAGACCGGCCGACCTCTGCCGAATTCCCGTGAACTTAGTCTACAGCTGTTCCCTGACCTGCAAGTCATTGACCCCGTATGGACCCTAAACACACAACAATGGGGACAAATTGTAACCCACGACATGGCACTATCAGCTGGCGAAGTACAAGCTCGTAAGTTTCCAGTTTCCTAAGTTTTTGTTACGGAACAAGACCAAAACTATGTACTGAGGTCCTACACATTTGTACAATCAACTAAAGTTCTGGTGTTTAAGCTGAATATTATTGCTTGCTATAGAGGTACATGGATGAAATTAATATTCTCTACCATTATACTCTAATTTTCTTCTATTATAATTGTAAATGACTGAGAGTCAAGATGTTTTGTTGATTGTACATTTGCTCAAGTACTAGTTTACGTTAATAAAGTAGTAGTATTGAGTACTTGTATTCGTGCAGTAGGTATTTTTTTTTGACAGATATAGAAAATCTTAGTTAAATTAACTCGTTTGTAGACGTTTTTCTCATATTTTAAGAAAGTATGAATTACACTCTGTATTGTCTCTGTTTTACTCGATACGTGATATTCAGAGACGCTTAATTTTTTAATCTCTGTGTTACTAAATTGTACGTTTTTTTTCCTACAGCGGATTTCAATCCACCGAGTAAGTTTGAATGTGTATGTGTAACTAAAACCATTGTTGTGTTACATCACCAGTCTATAACATTTATATGTATCATTAACATCTCAAATTATGTGTGTTTGAATATTCTTCATTATAGCATGTGTTCGTAAAATCATTAGAAGTAGAATTTTCTTCTAGACCAGTAGATAATAGATCGAGTAGGTAGTTACTCTATTTCTTTTTCTTTTCTTATCTGCTGCTCCTATCCAAGCTATGCTAAAATTTTGTCAACCATGCCATTTAAATATTTATTTTATTGTTATTAAATCTAAAAAAAAACCAAAACTGTCCTCTATCTCATTCAGAAATCTTGAAGCCATAATGTGTGTTTCTCGTAAATTACTTATTTATTTATGTGGTATATTAACTCGTCGAGTACCGGTTTTATAGACACAATTAAAGAACAATAGGTCGCCGTCACCGGTGACCGCTTGGTGTTTGACAGTTTAAATAAATACTACACTAAATTAAAGTTCAATGTAGATTTGTATCAGTAGAGTAGATGAACTCTACAAATTTAATAAAAAGTTTCTTGATACTGAAGCAAAAAAAAAAATTAAAGCTATAAGAATATCGATGAAATGTTCAAATACCTACCCTTATTTATACGATTTTAAGAGACAGTTTTCTGTTTCAATTAAAACGTTCCTTTACGATTGAATGCTCAAATAGTAGTTGTTGACAACGATAGAGGCGACTTAATAAAACCTTATCTATAGCATAGTGAATGGTGAATCAGCAATTTCCGGAAAGGAAAATGTTTTCATAAAAATATTTTGGACCATTTCCTTGTTCCGTGGCGTAGTTAATCGACGAGATTTTTTTCGTAAACACGCGATGGTGATGACAGAAATATAATTCATTTGTATTAGGCGATAGTTGTCGATAGATATTTTGATTACAACAGAGTAGTGCAGAATTCGATATTGACATTTTAAGAGAATCTTTATAAGGTTTCATGGAAATAAATATTTCGGTTTTGTGAAAATACATACACATAAAATGACCTTTTTAAACATTACTTGATTTTTATTTTCATTACAACTTTATGTACTTTCATTTACAGCTTTTCCAGTAGGTAGTTATAAATTTACTTTCAATAAGATGCGCCTCATTTTTTGTGTCGCTTACTATACGTTTTGTTTTTTTTTCAATTTCTTTGGCTTGTGTTTACATCTCTTCTATGGTCAACTACAGGATAAAGCTAACAATTTGACTTTACTAAAGAAATCACAAACTCAGTTCGTTAATCATATTTTATAATTATTATTTTATAATCGTAGTACATAGAAGAAAAAGAAAAGTGGATTTATCTATAATTACGACACAAAGTCAAATACTAGACTACCGTGCAGTTGACCATAGTAAAATGGCCGTATTTAATACTGAATCCTTTTTACCAGATAAGGAATTAACGGACTGCTGCGATGACAACGGGAGACTGACGTTCACTGCCCAAACGAACCCGTCTTGTGCTCCCATATTGATACCTCGTAATGACCCTGTGCATGCACCACGAGGAACACAGTGCATGAACTTTGTAAGAACGGGAACAACCAGGGATAGAGGATGCACTCCACCCAATATTCCTGCTGAACAGGTAAGAATGTTCTAGATTAAGATTGACTTATTGAGAGTAATATTTCTGTAAAAATTACGTGTTCTTCTTGGTTAACCATCAATATGTCGTAGTCGTTATTTTTAAACGAAAATGCTTGTAATGAATCTGCAGAAGTGGGTAGATAATCTGGCGAAATAAAAAATAGAAAGATTTAATTAAAATATTTCGTAAAACTGTTAATTATAAAGTTCATTTTGCCACCAGCTAACGTCAGTCACAGCCTTCATGGATCTCTCCATTGTCTACGGCAGCAGCCAAACTCAGGCTAGTCCTATCAGAGCTCGTCGAGGAGGTCGTTTATTGACTATTGTGAGAGGAGGCCGGGAATGGCCACCACAGGATCCTAACTCAACCGTCATCTGTGAAACTGCGCAGTCACCTAATGAACCGTGCTATTTGACTGGTAAGATATCAAATGATCTTTACTTTCATATTCCATTTTATATAAAATAGGTATTTCATATCAAACTCGCGAATAAACACTGATGTAACACTGTATTAACCTAACATAAATTGCCTAAAGAAAACAAAATGACATGAACTTTGTCCTTTATTATTGCTTTATTAAAATATAGAGCAGTACATTATTGGACTATTTTAATAAGGTTTCACAAGTACAGTTTTCACCAAACCACAATAGTTTTATTATCGGTGTGAAGGTCTAAAGAAAAAATACAATATATTTGTATAAATTTATTCTAGGACATACCTATTTTATTATCGTTTAAGTACATATCACAAGAATGACAAATGACTTAAAATAGCAGACTTCGGAAACAGGACAAGGTTAGCGACTCCTTACATAACCATAAGCCTTTTGGATACTGACGGAAGATCCACTTGATCTTTACTTATAACTCCCTTGAGGGCAATTACTGCGTCGAGTGCGCCTGTAGAGGTTGGTCCAATTAAAGTTGGCCTCCATAAATATACCACAGAAGTTCCTACTCTTGAGAAGTAATCGTATAATCAACTTTTCCTGAAGTGACCAATAAATGTATACATTCTTATTGTTTTTCGTATACGGACACACACGTGTCGTAGAATTATTTCTTCACGTTTTAAGAGACTAGTGCAATTAGGTGATTGTTAACTACGCAGAGTAGCTATTATTTGTGACGGATATCCGCGCGGAGCAAAAGTATTGATGAATTTTCCTAATTATTGAACTTACTTTCAGTAGCCTAGAGCTTGAGAACTCAGTAACAAGTTCCTCCGGGCTTCAGACAGCACGTAAAACAGTTTCGCTTCGGTACTACCGCATTGTCGTTGCGAATAACTATATCCAAAATTGGACAAGCGTGCACTATTATTGAGCAAGTGTATGTGAACTTGTATGTTTGTAAACGCACCCACGATACAGGTGAAGATCATAGTGTGGAACAACGTTTTCTTTAAAAAAAATAAAATAATCTTATTATGATTTTTACGTTCTTTCCCTTTTTATTATTAGGTGACATCCGTGTTAACCAAAACCCTCAGTTGACGACTCTCCAAGTCGTGCTGATGAGGGAACATAACCGCATCGCTGACGCGCTAGCTCAACTCAACCCTCATTGGAACGACGAGACCATCTTCCAAGAAGCCAGACGTATCCACATTGCTGAGATACAACACATCAACTATTATGAATACCTTCCTATTCTGTTAGGTAAGTTGTTTATTTAGTTGTTCTTCATGCAATAAAATTATATAGGTGGTCTTAATGCCTAAGGTATTCTAATCAGTTGTTGGGTGAATCAGAAGATTTATGAATGGGAACTGTATGATTTTCTTAGGGAAAACCTATTCTTACTATATTTTTCAGTGATATACATATAATAATACTTTGGATAGTTTTATATAAGAGTTACTAAACAATCAGAAGTCCACTGTTTGTAATATTATTTATTGAAACTAAGATGACTGAAAATCAAAAAATAAAACTGAAGGCATCTTAACCTTAACTTACTTCGCATGAGAATAGGGAAAAATTCCCTAATATTTTTAGCATTTTTGAACTTAAGTGAAGTTTCAAAGAATGTCCCAGTTATTATGTTATTATGAGTCTCCCATTATTTTGTTTTATGTATTAAAAACTTAGGTTTTCACAAAGAGTTTATTAACGCCGTGTTACTTCATTTGTGCAAAAAATACGCAGTTATAATCTAAAATGTTTATAGACTTCCTTCGAATTATGTCAGCTTTATAATATCTGTCAGCAATCTACTTGCATATACGAGCTACCTATCTCTTTTGAAAGGCCTTTGACCGAGTCAATCACAAAATAGGTATTGCTTTCTAAATTGAATGCTTGTTGAGGGATTCATTGTAGCCTTTTGCGATACCTGGAAACGTACATAGTGAACCGGAGTCAAATTGCAACCCTTGGGAGCTACTGTTACTGTGCCCTTGGAGTTTCTGTTTTGTATAACTATTGAATTAATAACACATAACATAACATAACATCACGCCTTTTATCCCCGAAGGGGTAGGCAGAGGTGTACATTATGCCACTGTACAATGTTTATGTATAAAACCCACTTTTCACTATTTATGTTATGAGTCCCATGCAATAGGGGTGAGCCTATTGCCATATACCGGGCACAATTCCAGACTCCGTGCTACTACCGTGAATTTTTGAAAAACCCAGTAATACTTTGCCCGACTCGGAAATCGAACCCGAGACCTTGCCCGGCAGTCGCATTTGTGACCACTCGGCCAATGAGGCAGTAGATGAATTAGTAAAATAATATAAGTAAAATAAACATCTTCACTGTTGGACAAATTGTTCGGACATTGTTTGTTACATGTGTATCTTATATTCAGGTTTTGAGAATATGGTGAAGAATAAGCTCATCTACCCTGGTGCTCACGGCTACGTGAACGACTACAACCCTGGAGTGGATCCCTCCATTCTCAATGAACACACCACAGCTGCCTTCCGTCACTTCCACTCCTTGATCAGAGGTTATTTGAAGTACGTATACTCTTCCTTTATTTTCATATATATCATCAGCATTTTCTTTCTTCTATATCATTATAACGTTCATTGGTTCATTTATATCCACTTCTCCCCTTCAATATTCATTCTATTCTTATTCTTTTTCGTATCCAAACTCTTTATAATCCGATCTATTCACGTTCAGTATAGAGGTGACACGCAATGAAATTAATTTAAAAGTTTTATTAATTTGTTGTTTTTATTTTATTAACGCATTACACGCCTATGACAATTTTTGGAATCTATCTTACAATTGGCTTTGAAATCAGTATCCAATAGCCGCCAAAGGATTTCAAGATAACCTACATTAGCTACTTTCAAATACTGCATACTTATTCATTTCTTTTATTATTTTAGTTCGGATTAATCGCTTTATCGCTTACCACCGATTGAGATTGTGGTCAAATACCTAAAAATATATATTTACTACATGTAGAAAGGTTTTTCACAGGTTAATTTCAGAAAGCCGTCGCGCCATCGGTGCCGTGCGCATGAGTGACTGGTTCACCCGGCCACAACTTTTGGAACTTGACAACGCCTTCGATCACTTGGTTCGAGGACTTACAACCCAGGCACAAGACTTCAGCGACCAGTCCTTCGATAGTGAAATCACTCAGTTCCTATTCAAGTAAGTTAAACCTACTTTTATTCTTGGAGTGGTTGACACCTACTGAGAATTTTAAAAATATTTTTTCACTGTCGATGGATGTTGAAATATCGTAAACTCATAATCCTCTACCCATCTTTGTGCGGTGCATATAGACCAAACGTAAAAAATTAGAATGCTCTCAATGTATTCAAAGTTGATGAATGAATATTCAAATTAAGGTACTGCAATCAGAAAAGAAGGGTTAACGTCGGTCCGTAAATGCCGATGATTTACGATGAAAACAGTCGCTGAAATTGTGCTGAAGTTTTTAGTACTGTATGGAAGATACGAGGGAAATTTATTGCCTCATTAATATTAAAACCAATCCGGGCTGAAATTACACCGTCAAATTAAAATGTCTATAAAGTTGATGCTAACATCAACTTAGCGAAGCGCTATTTAGTTTGAGATGAACTGTCAAGGTTTTAAAGTAATGTGAATAATTATTGAATCGTATAAAGCGTTTGTCACACAATGAATGGTATTATGGGTTTTAATACCGTAGTCGATCGAAACATCAAATAGGTTTTTTTTTCTCTTCTTTGGCAAACGAGTCTCCAAAACGATCTTGTCTACTAAGTAGGTAATTATTGAATGTTTGGATTTAACCATTCTCGACATACATACACAGAACTTTGACCTGTCTTTAATTCATATGGTAACGGGCTTGTATTTTGTTTTGTGAGATCCAGGATATCTTCATTATCTACATCTGATTATGGACCCTACCAGAGGGTCCCATATTATATTAGACGTTGTACAAAAAATTCCTAAGATTAAACACAATATTTCTATCTCATCCTTTGGAAAATAAATGAGTGTCTGAAGTTAATAATAATGAAGTAATAATAGTAAATTGAAAATTAAATATTGTGATGTGATATCAAAGGGATTTGGTCCGTAGTACAATTTACAAAGGGTGACAGGATTGCCAGTTAGTGACTTCAAAGTTCCTGTCATTATAATTTGGACGTCACAGTTCCAAGAAATCTTTTCATTGTAGACTCAATTTGATGTTGGTTGGTTTCATCAATTAAATACAAAAAGGAACAAGTTTGTGTAGGATTAAATACTTGGTAATTTTGATTATTAGGAACGCCATAAGAAAGGTGTGACGGGTTTTGATTTCTGGATCGCAAAGTTAAGAAATATAAATTCATATTGTTGATGTGTTTAAATTTTATTTTTACTTTTTAGCCAGTACTCACACGAAATATGTAGTTGTGCTGGATGTAGAGGTACAGTAAAAGATTCGTTTTCTATGTATTAAAATTGATTTACTACAAATATGATGAAAATTAGGGTGTTAGATTTTTTTACGGGATACACGGGGATCATCTGATGGTAAGCAATCGGCGTCACCCATGGATACTCGAACACAAGTGCGTTATCGGCATTTTAGGGATTAGAAATTTAAGGATTGTTGGGGATTCAGGGATTGGGGAGATTGGGGAAGGCGATATTATCACCACCATCCCCAATCCCAATCCCCAATCCCAATCACCAAACACCAATCTCCAATCCCCAATCCCCAATCTCTAATCCCTAATCCCTGATCCCCAATGTCTTAGGCCCAATGGCCTCCGGTAACCTCATTCACACGACTAAACACAACGCGATCGTTGTATCACGCCGCCTTTCTAATAGGCCGTGGCATCACTCCGAACCATGGCAGGAGTACTAAAATTTTGTTCTCTGCTTACCTCTTCGGGAAATAAAAGCACGGAATATTGAATTGAATATTGAATAAGGGATCAAACGTTGTTAGGTAATTATTATTGCTCACGTAGATACATGTTGTGATAACAAATGAATGGTCAATCACAACATTGATCCCACCCCAAGCGATTTTAAACCATGTTTGCGTTAAACACCCACGAATTAATTTAAATTTTCGCATGCTTTCATATCAGTAAAGCTATTAAAAAGTACACTTTTAAAATAGAGTATGTTTGCATTTGAATTTATTATGTTATTTTAATTAATGTTTGTTCGTTAGATCTGACATGGTATCATAAAAATTTTAGATGTAGTTAGGAGTCATAATAAAACTGCCATGTACCAAATAGCCTGCAGGAATATAATAATTAGGTATTTTTGGTTATTCCTCAAATGGATAATGACTGTGTTATTGACTTAAATTTTCCATTTTCATAAATATATTTGACTACACGTTTAGCGCCATGACTGGGCAACTGGCTGCCGCACAACGTGTCGCGGTTTCGATTCCCGCACGGAACAACTCTTTGTGTCATTAACACATTGTTATCTCGGGTCTAGGTGTCATGTGTATGTGAACTTGTATGTTTATAAACGCACCCATGACACAGGAGAAAATCCTATTGTGGCGCAACGTTTATTTAAAAAAAATGTATGTTGACGATAACAATTCCTATCAACTCAATTTCACACAATACTAGATTCAGTTAATACAGACCATTTCCAATTTAAAAAACTCAAATTCTTTCTACAAAGATAATATCTCATGTTCCTTGATTGAAAGCGTAGCGAAATTTAGTAAACATAATTTTCTTCATTCCCTCACTAGCTTATATATATATAATCATCGTAAAATCAACAGCTGGTATTATTAATTACAAATCCAGTTACAACCAGTTACTAGACTTAATTGTTTGCGCTACAACCTTAATAAGAAAACTTAGGTAGGTACTCTACGTTTGAAATTATCTTTGTTTGACTAAAGAGCTTAAATCCTTCAAACCTGAAAGGTCGTTAGTAACAGTACTTAGAACTATTAAATTCTATTGAAAAACTACCTTAAGTTAGTGGTTTCGTCTGTATGTCTGTATGCTTTTCGATAAAACTAGATAAGATAGGTAGGTTATGTATAATTTCAGACTGTAATTTATATTTTGTGTCTGTATATTAATTATTACATTTCATCGAGATTAGTTTAGCAATTTCGGTGTAATTGCGTAACAAGCATCCATTCCTCCCTAAAATGTAAGTAGCACCATACAAACTCCTGTATCAGCTTTAGTTCGAATCAGTAATAATATCGAAATATTAAAAACTTCATCATCAGAGATGGTAGGTTTCAACATCCTTATTAATATGACATCTTTGTTCTAACAGGCGTAACAATACTTTTGGAGGTGACCTGCGTGCAAGAGACATCCAAAGAGGTCGTGACCACGGTTTGGCTTCGTACATCACTACTAGAGCTGCTTGCGGTCTTCCTGCTCCTAAGACCTTCGCTGACATGTTGGACTTCATTTCTCAAGAGGTATGTACAATTATGATAAAAAGTTTGTCGGAATGATCACTTTAATTTTTTTGACGTTCAAAAGTGCCTTCCTGGTCTAATTGAAATAAATGACTTTGGCGTTGGCTTTGACTTTGGCTTTGACTTTGATCATTTACCAAGTATGTAATTGTCACGAAAGCCAAATTCAGAATATAAGTAGATAAAAGCAGATGTATTAATATTTACATCAAGTTTATACAATTAAAGTGTCCTTTTGCCTTTAATAAAGTCGTGTGGGATTGTTGGTTTACTGTGGCTGATAACTATTAAGGCCAGTCCTGCTAGATATTACGGTTAAATAGAAATGTTTGATGGTAACAACTACTTCGATCACGTTGTTAAGATATTAGAGGAGGAATCCGATGTAATCATTGGAATTTCGCTTTGTTCATATGTTGGTTTTGTGTACTTGGTTTACGTTTGTTTTCTTTCTGGTGGAAAACTTACCTGACGTAATTACATAATCCTAATTAATTATTATGGAAGCAAAGTATGTACACACGGGTAGAGGCGACAACTGGTTATCAATACCAATACTAACCACATATAACACAATTTTGGATATCATAAGGCAAAATTAAAATAGAGAATTATTGACAAACCTGTTTCACCATTTATTATTTATTAACCGTTGTGGATCCAGGCTTAGCTTTAATAATTTCAACACACGATCCTTAACTAAAATTTGAACAGAAGTTTGTACAAATGACTATTATAATTAGCCTGAATGTTATTTACTATAACTAGGTATTCGTAGTAAAATGGTTCGTTGTGGGTGTAATCACAATTTTAGTAGGTAAACAATACGCGACTTAGATTTGCGCAACCGATATTAAATTGTGTTATTTTTAGTACCCACTTGTAAGTTACCAGGTTTAAGTATCATATGAGTTAATATGAAGTTTAAATAAGAGTAATTAGAAGTATCCATAGCTTTATATGATGTCAAAATAGAATAAGGTTGTGTAATAACCAATGGCGTGCAGTCCATACAGGCAAATACGCTTCGCCTACCTCATACATTTTGTGAATAAATAACATACATAAAATTTACAAACGCGTTTATTAAGATTCAATAATATAATAAAAGTTTGTAAAAATAATATAACATAAGTATACAATTAATAACATAAATTTTAATTTAAACGTTTCATATCTGGAACTGTGATCAAATCCTTCGCTGAGGAATCTGATGTTGGGGTTTTCGATTTAAGTGATTCTGCAGTATAAATTCTGAAAATGTGCCTTGTTACATGATGAGACTTATAAACAAACATATCTGGAAAAAAGTATTAATTTGATAGATATATTTTATTTTCTTTATTTTCCCTCACTTGCCTTAAATAATAAACACAAATGTGTCACCTACTTATATATTACTTTAGTTAGGCAAATCTCATTGTCAACAATTTTTCTGTGTTTCCAACAGAACGTGGCTGCTCTCCAAAACCTTTACGCAACTCCCGAAGACGTAGACCTGGTGGTAGCTGGTTCTTTGGAGCGCAATGTGCCAGGAGCTCAAGCTGGACCGACCTTCCTCTGCATCATCACGGAGCAGTTCTACAGGACACGTGTTGGAGACAGATACTTCTATGAAAATGGAGCTGATCCTGACATTGCTTTTACACCAAGTAAGTTGTAATAAAATTATTTTATTAGCATCAAGAGGATGTGTGCGAGATGAAAACCTCACCTGAGATCGCTGCGTCAATTTAGCCCGATGACATTCAAGACTGTAGTGATTATGTATCCTACTCGTGTCTCTGACGATGCCATTGGTTCACCCAGCAGGAGTAGTAATAAATACCTAATTCAAAACTGTGATAACTAGTCTAACCAAGAATATAGCCAGATGCCCGTTGATCTATGATAATGATGTTTTGACATCCAGACGAATTTGACTAAGACTTGGTCCTGATCCTAACCTAGTTGGTAAAGAGCCAAGAGTCCCTCTCTTGGCTTACACAAATAAAAATATATTAGTTATCTAAAAATCAATATTACCAAAAATAGGAGTATGTACGCAAAAAAAAATATTATGTTTGGGGAAACATAATATTTACATAACATAACTTTTTCAGTCAACAGATAATTCTTAACTGTAAAATAAAATTGACATTTGACTGTTTTTAATATAGAAGAATTGTCAAATATTCATCTGATATTAATGGTGTTGGAAAAATCGGCCCTAAGCCATGTAGGCTATGTTAATTAAGCTTGTACACCTTTACATGTTCCATGTTTAACAAATTATTGTTATTTTACATGATGTTTTATGTGATATGATCCTTACCTAACTTCAAGAATATACATAATTTTACTTTATAAATTATCACTAGGAAAGTTATTACCTATTTACTTATCTGCCATAAAACACTTTTGTTTTCTGTTTTGTTTCCTGTACGAATAAATCAAGGAATTATCTTCGTTGCTCAAATATTATCCTGAAAGCGACTTCTGACAACAGTATAATATATAATTTGTATCTAGAACGAGGCCGAATAAATAAATATTCTAGGTAAAAATGTTAGCTAGAATTTATTGCTCTCCTATTTTTTTTTCCTATGGCAGTCTCACGAAATAGGTTATTCGATACTTGATGGATCCGGCCTGTCAGATATGTTGTTTATGTGAATTCCTGGCAAACAATGCCTTCATCGTCTTATTACTAAATAATGAAACGTTATAATATCGTTATTTTACTTTTACATTATGGAATTGTACGTTTTTTGATGTTGTTTATTATTTTTTAATTTTATTTTATGCAGGCCACATACTGAACTAAATTGTTATTTTATATAACCATCGGCGCTAAAAATACAAGGTCCTTGTAAGCATAACTACGAATTGATATGTCTTAATGTCAATAAAACTGCTGAAATATGATTAGGTGTAATTCAAGTGTCGATACGTAAGAGCCGTCCAACCATTTACGATCATTCCATATGACAGTTTCTTCAACCACGAAGTGCCTCACTCATAAAAGATGGAATGTGAATAAAAAGTATTTTTTTCAAAGATAGCCATTTCAAAAAAGGGTCTATGCAATATGTTATTTTTCCCAATGTGCCAGAAACGCATCTGTGGCACATGCGCTTATTTTACACAAAAAAAGTGTATTTGAATTACCCATCAATTTCTTTCTACAGTCAATCAACAAGGCAAACAGCAAAGATAATAATAAAAATTATAAATCAAAAGCCTCCCTCATCGTATTTTTCACTAAAGCATCCATTAACTAAAGGATAAAGGCAATTATTCACAAGATTCGTGGCCACGTGCGAGTGTGCCGATGTTATCAAAACAAGTCTTCCCCTACACATGGCCTTATTTAATTATTTTCCTCAACAAATCTTGTTAACCGAAGGTATGTCCTGTGCATTAGAGAACAAATGGCACGTCACATAAATTAGCGTAATATATGGCTAACCATTTCTTGATTGTGTCATACAGGAAATATCATAGGGATTCGTGTTGACATACACAAAGATATTGTTGTATTTGTCTGAAGATATAATCACGTTTTGTTTATATTGTATACTTAGTTCATTTCCGATAAACGTAACTGATATAACTGTGTCAAATATTTATTGTATTCACGAAAGACATGAGCAGTGATTTCCAGAACTATAAGTAAAAAAATATCTATATTAGAGAAAATTTATTTAGCATCAAAAAGGATCAAACTCAATTATATTAGGGTATCATTTTGTACGTTCCTCAAACTACAGGGTCGGCTATAGTATGATAAATGACGGAAAACTATGAGGTTCATTTGATAAATATTATGCTTTATTAAACAGGCCAGCTCGACTCGATACGCAAGGGAGCATCAATGGCGCGGCTGCTGTGTGATAACAGTGACGGAATACAGTCTATGCAGCCCAGAGCCTTCCAACAGATATCGCACACGTAAGTATGGCTATTACTTACAGTCCCGACTTTTACGACTATGTCGCAGTGTAAAGAATTCAGAAGTTCGATGAGGATTCTGCGGTAAAAGGGCAGTTGTTTTGGTCTTAAAAGAAAATATGTACTTGTAGATACAAAAATGGTGCTACGGTATCTGTTCTTAACCCTTTGAGTACCGTCATTATAGACACAATTAAAGAACAATAGGTCGCGGTCACCGGTGACCGCTTGGTGTTTGACAGTTTAAAACTATACCATTTTATGATTCTTTTATTTTAATAGTGACGCACATATTTTAGTAGTATTATCAAAATGTGTCATGTGTTCAAAAAAAATATACATAACCAGAACCCACCAATTATGCAGTACAATTTATTATTATTCTGCTGTATATTTTTGTATCGTGGCTTCTTTAAGTACCTTAACCCATAGATATGGAATATGTTCCTATTGATGTCCATTTTGGGGAGTTAAAAGTTATTGTGACGATCGTAATGTAGTGACTACCTCTATATTGTGCGTACATAGTTGTAGTGACAGCGTGTGAATAATATTTTAAGCAACTTGAGGATTATTTCTTGTATATTATCTACAAGGTTGTCAAGGATGTTAGTGGATCCACCTGTAACTTAACACAGTAAATAATTGAAAAGTAATCTTGGATTTGTACTAATTATCTTGTATTTTTTCCAGGAACGAACTTGTACCATGCGAATCGCTGCCAGCTATTGATCTAACCTTATGGCAAGACGCGAGAGGCCATTTTTAATACATAAGAAATAGTATTAAATAACTAAGAAAACAAATTAAAATGTCACCTAGGACTAACAAAGTTTTTTTGTTAAAAACTTTTGCAAAACGAAACTTCTGGAATAACAATTGCACAAAACTATTATACTATGCTGGGATAATAGTTTATTAAGCTTAGTGACGTAATAGCTTAACACTTAACAATTTTTGCTTCTTTAACAAGTTTTATCGACATGAGCAAGCAAACAATACTTTTTGATATAAGTTTATCTGTTCATCAACCAATTTTTCAATTTTATTATCAAATGTATACATTTTTTTATTTATTTGTACAGATTTTGACACTAAGTTGTATAATAATGTGTGAACATTGCCATTTTTATGTTTGTGCTATTTTAGAATACGTAAGTACATGTTTTAACAAAACCTGAATGGATAATAATATATTTTTTTCATATACTGAAGATATGAATGGAACGTAAGAAAGTTGTGTGTTTGTAATGCTGAACTAATAAAGAATTATTTTTATGTATGAAAAGTGTTTTATTTTTATAGGAAATGTACGGAAATATCTTTGATACATCAAAATATTTGGAACCTTTTTCCGGGTTCAAGTTTTGTAATATCAATATCAATAAAAATATAAAATATTCAAAGTGGAGCTTTCTTTGGCAAATGATCAAAGAAACGAATATGTTTACAAGTTAACAATTTAAAATATTTTTTCTTCGATCAAAAGTTGGTTACATTATGCTTAGGGGCTGATTCTAAGTATTATTATATTTATTTGTTTACATTTTTTAATAAGAATGACAACACATTGTTTTTTTTCTTACTTTTGAATATAAGAAGGTGTTAAAAGTAGACTTCGGCATTATACAACAACTTATAAATTTTTGTAAAACTTCATAAGAATGTTGTATTTTTGTGATGTCAGCATATTTTGCATTCTAATCTGTTTCTTGAACAACGTTTCTAGACAACGTGTAAACTCGAAGGGACTATTAGTTGCAGTCTTTTGTTATGCAAAGCAAACCTCAGCGATATTTGTTTGCCACTTAGGGGCTGCCTCCACGAGTGAGAGAATCGCGACGAGTCCGCCCTTATATCGTCGGATAATCTCCACGAACGAGCGATAATTCCGCCGCGTATCGTCGCGAGTCGTTACGGTATCGCGGCGATTCCGCGGCGACTCGTAACGGTATCGCCGCGGTTCCTTGATGTCACGTTGCCAAAGACGAGAGGCAATGCTGAAATGAGTGTACGATGGTGACCGTATGCACTCAATCGATTTCAAGACCGTTCGATAGTAATCGAGGTCACTCAAAAGTAATTAAGAACGCTAGATCTTCTCTCAGAACTCTCGATTAATTTCGAGTAGCATTTAAAAGCAATCGAGTAACGCACGAAAATAGTCGAAGACGCTCCATCAATTTCGAGGACGCTTAAACATTTTCAGTGCGTACTTAGTTACTAATCAGTTTAGAGCTCACTCAGTTTCTACTTGATTAAAGTAGTTTATGATATTGTAACACAACAGAAGTTCAGGAAGCGGTTTAATTTAGTTTATCAGAAAAATATTATTGAGACCTTTTGGATTCCGAGAAGCACAAGTGTCTGTATAGGATTCACCCCTTTTACATGGTTGTAATGATAATAATAATTTATCAAAGATAGTGTTTTACCGCTTTCTTTGTCTCAACTCAAATAATGGTAGACGTAATATAAGATTTTCAGGCTCAGTTCTGACTTCAAAAGACCACATTCAATAACTTTCATCAAACGAATCTATTTTCCACACATTTTTGATTAAAAATGTTTAAAAATTGATTAATTCTATGTTTTTATTTTATAAAAAGTTTCCTAGTTTCTAGTAACAGAGGGACTCTTCCTTATGAGCAGCGTGTGCAGTCGCGGCGATGTCGCGGGCTGGCTATTGGCAGCCTTCTGGCTGTGGTTGGTGTCCGCGTTGGTGTTGGTGCTTGCGTTGCGCGCCCATTGCGCCCTCTGCCGGAAACTACGCGTATTTGTTTACAACTCGACTTAGTGATTATGAATGGCATTGTGACAATCACAATTAATACAACGATTACAGCCATTATAGTAAGGAAACTTCTCTAAGTTGTTCAGATTTAGTTAGGTAACGTTACGTTAATACCTAACTGCATGAAACACGTGCAGCTTTGTATTAATATCGGTATCGATATAGGAAACAACTACACAACTTCGCAAACAACATATTGCTTTTCAAGTATATATTACACATGTTACCTAAATCTATATAGTTTATTGGACGTATACTTAGTTGAATGACCTTTATTCTTTTGTTTCTCCTGTATTTCACCCTCCTCTTGAGTTCCGTAGCCAAATGGCAAAAATCAGATCCCTTGTCATCTTTTAACCTCTTAATAATCTTCATGATGTATGTCTGTCCGTCTGTTCGCCGAGTCGTGCTGTCTTTCCTCGTGTGAGTGACCAGTAACATTACTGGAGACCCAATTACTCCCCTCCCCAATCTACCCAATCCCTGAATCCCAACAACCTCAAATTCCTAATGCCCAAAAAGCCGGTAACGCACTTGTAACACATCTGGTGTTTCGGGTGTCCGCGGTAGGCGCCGATTGCTTTTACCATCAAGTGATCCGTCTGCTTGTTTACGGCTTATTATATGATAAAAAAAACTTTTACTTTAACGAGTATGTCTATATTAATAGAACAAAAATTGTACATGCACCAAGCTAGCTTTCTAAATGTGTCGAATCCAATTTATTTCTAAACAAAAAGCGAGAAGGTAGCTCATTTACCTACCGAAAACCTCTGCTGACACCTCTAACAAAATCATATTATGACGTCCTCATGTGTTGTTATATTGTTTGATATCCAATACCCGGTTACGCAGTCACGTGACATTTATGGCCGCCATATTGAAGTCAATGTTCCGCGGATATTATTAAAAATTGAAAGTGATGAGGGTCGAGTACAATGCCTGACGTGCACTGAGTACAATGCCTGACGTTAACGGGAAGTGATGGTAAATAGAATAAGAGTGAACAATGAACCTGTCTGAAGGGAAAATATTATAGACAAAACTCCTTGTGCCTACCTTTATGTAGGTATATGAGGTAATCTTTTGACGGAGTAATTGAAAGAGTCCCAAGTGCTGCAGCTGAGCTGATTAATTTCCTGGTCCGGAAAAGAGCTATTTTAATTATTTAATAATCTTAAAATTTTCATTGTTTGATGATCATGCAGCCTGAAATCAAACTCATTGGTATTGTTGGTGAGGTTATTGTGATACGGAGAAGTTATTGTTATAGTATGGACACAGTTCAAAACCTCTTGTTTCATAAGAGACTCAATTCTAGAAAAGTAATACTATTAAAGTAAGCGAAATGCTACCTACAACACAACCTTGCCCGAGATGTATTTTCAGATAAATAGCAAGCAAGGTCCAAGTGTATCTAAAAATAAAGTTAAGGACTGTTTAACAATTACAATACATTTTCATTTCGTCACATTTTCCACTGATTAGGTGTATTAATTAAACGCAATTTATAGATTACCGATAAACCTAAAAATGGGCTCAAGATTTATACAATGGTAACTTTGTATACAACCCCAAACATTACCCGTACAAAATATAGCTATATTCATATGGGTTACAAATATTTCCGGATTGGATTGTTTGCATCCCTGAATATTTGCAAAACCATTGTGACGGTCATACTCAATTGAATGAGTTGACAAATATTTAAATTAAAATTGTTTTCGGTCGCTTTGTCGGACTCCTAATTTATATAATGTATTGTTTTGTGTTGTAGATAACTTATAATTATATATATCTTCAAAAACAATGACAATAAATGATGACATGGTATTACCACCATTCTAGTAAATACATCAAGACTATTGATTGGTCGCAAGTGCTGACTTGCAAGTCTGCCGAGCATGGGGTATCGGGTTCTATACCTGGGTCGGGCAAAGAATTAATTGGTTTAAAAAAAAATATCAGTAGTAGCACGAAGTCTGGAAATGTGCCCGGTATATGGCAATAGGCTCACCTCCTATTACACGGGACTCATTACATATATATAGTGAAGAGTGGGTGTTACATTGTACAGTGTCATAATGTGCACCTCTGCCTATCCCTTCGAGGACAAAAGGCGTGATGTTATGTTATCTTCAAAAACAATGACAATATATGATGACATATCACTATTCTAGTAAATACATCACCATTATTGACAATAATCCTCATCTCATTTTTTAAGCCCAAAAACCTAATTAAAGATGAAACTCTTTACCCTATATACCCATATTTTTACGCATACTATAAATGTGAAAGTTTGTATGTTTATTTGTCACTCCTTCACGACGAAAAGACTGAAGGGGTTATGATAAAATTTGCAATGGGGTTAAATTATGTTCTGTAATACCACATAGGCTACTTTTTATTCCACGGAAACGCGGGCGAAGCAGCAGGCAGAAGTTTAATAATATCGTTTGACATTGTAAGTATAATATATTACTTAGAATCTGTTCTACTTAGAAGAAGTTCTATAATATATTACTTAGGATATATGACTACAAAGCTAGACCTAGTAGGTATAATCATCATTATCTCTTTGTCAACAAACCACATCTGACTCATTAATAGACTCAAAAACTTATTAACCCCTCGAGCGTCCTTATGTGCACCCGGAAGATCATAAGAAAAAATGCTCCATGCTGCTTTCTCTTTTATAAAATCTATTATGGATGTTTTGTTTTTATTTTGACTGTTTTTTTTATTTCTATTGTAATGATCCTTGTTTTCGTGTGCCAATGGCTAACTAAATGCATTTTCTTTCTTTCTTTCTCCAAATGTCACGTGTGCACCCATTGGATCATAAGGAACGCGGACGCTCGACGGGTTAAACTGTCAGTGTCATAGAAGATTTAATAATTCGTTTTAAAAGAAATTATTTCACTCCATTCGTCGTTCATATGACTCATATTAATGTGTTCGTTACATAAAGT